AAATATAATTAAGATAATCATTGAGTTCTAACAGAATACTTAATTATTATTTTTATAAAAATTATATTATTAAACCAAAAATAAATTATTTCGTTATTAAACTTAAATTAAATTATAATAAAAAATAAATTACATAAAAAATGAGAACTTTTAAATAGTTGATTTGATATTAACATTGATATATTTTTTTTCAAATTTTTATGATATCTTCAAATTTATATTTTATTCAAAAATAAAATCATTATTGCTTTCTTAAAAACACATAAAATCGTATTATAACATCGACATAGACAAATAATGAAATAGAACATTAAAATCGAGATGTGTCTCGCTGCATTGCGCAAATACCCTTCTAGTATATTATAAAGCATTTGATAAAAAAAAATTAAAAACAATTTTTATACATAAAATACTGTTTATTGATGTACATTACTTAAAATTCAAGATTGCAAGTAGAATATGTATGAGTACATCTTATTAAAGCTTAATGTTTGAATTCGTGTAACTAACTACAAATAAACATAATCAAATATATGATAAACATCATTTTAAATATAACAAATCTAAAATATAATTAAGAATATCATTAAGTTCCAACAGAATACTTAATTATTATCTTAAAAAATTTATTTTATTAATGCAGAAATAAATTAATTCGTTATTAAATTTCAAACTAATTATAACATAAAATTGAATTAAAATTTTTTCACAAAAATGATAACTTTTCAATAGTTAATTTGATAGTAATATTGATTATTTCTTTTTAAATTTTTGTTTCATTCAAAAATAAAAATATTTTCGTTTTATTAAAACCACATAAAATGGCATTATAATATCAATAGAGCCAAAATATAAATGAAATATTAAAATTAAAATGTATCTCATTAAATTATGTGAGTATTTTTTTAATTTTTTTTAAATAGGAACTAAGTAGAAAATTGGGTGTATCCCAAAAATTGACCTACATTCTTTTAATTAAATATTGATTTATTTGTTTCCTTTATTAGCTTTTTTTAATATATATTTATATTAATTAATTCTTAATCAATATCATTAAATTTTAATTAACCTATTATAATTTTTTTTATAGTTTTATCAACATTATTTAATATCTATTAGTTTAATTTTGATTCAAACTATTATAATTTCATTTTAGTATGGTGTTTATGGATATGATAATATTTATCGTTTTAAACTATTATTATTAATGCTTATTCAATTAGTTTATAATATTAGTATATTTAGATGGTTAATTTAAATGCTAATCTTAATATTCATATATTTAAATGTTTATTCAAAGGGAAAGTAAAAAAAAAACCCAATGGAATTTAGTGTTTGAAATGATTAAGTCTTTAGATAATTTTTTGGAACAAATAAGTCTTTATACATTCCAAAACATGTTAAATAACTTATTGGACAATTTTTTGAAACAAATAAGTCATTGGACATTCCAAAACATGTTAAATAACTCCTTGGACAATTTAAAACATGTTAAATAACTTATTGGACAATTTTTTGGACAATCCAAAACATGTTAAATAACTCCTTGGACTTTTCTAAAACATGTTGGATACATTCTTATGAATTGTACAACTAGTTAATGTGGTAAAATAGTGAAAAAAAGTCCGAAAAAAATTTGTTGGATCTATAAAATTAAACAAATATAACAAAAAAATACTTACATTTATAAAAAAATTAATTACATTTAAAAAAGATTTTTGATAAAATTTATTTTAATTAAAATTAAAATATATTTAGT